ATAGGTCGATATTTCTTATAAAAATCAACCCATTTTGTAACTAATGTTTTTGTTGCATCTGTATCATATAAACGAAATCCTCGATAACAAGCAGCAACACCTGCACCTAAATATTGTGCTAAAGCCCATTCATATTCAATTTGATGTTCAACAAGTGGTTCAAATATTGCTGCTGCATCACCACCTTCATAGCTAGTCAATGGTACAAACATCCAGCCTACTGTTGGAATTCGTTGATATGTATCATCAAACATTCCTTGTCTTGAAACACTAATATCCATCCATCGTGGTAATGAATATTGCCCTTCATTATAGCCCATACCTGTTTTTGAACCACCTTGATAAAAATAATAATCTGGTTGATTGATATAAACAGAACGTTCTCGAAGTATTTTAAAATAATTTGCTTGTAAAAGATTTTGTTGATATATACTATCATCATTATTACGATGATGTGAATGAGTAGTTGATGCACATGAATATCCACCATATGGTCCATCAGTTTCAACCATCATTAAACCAGTACGATCCATAAATGTTAATGTACGATTTAATAAATAATCATACCAACCAGATGCAAAACATGCATTATCACGTGGCTTACCAGTATCGGGATCAATAGCCATCCATGCTGGTCCAACGTCTCGTGTTAATGCAATTAAATCATAACCACCAACTTCAATACCTTTACTAGTTGCATATGCAATATCACTAGTTATTTGTTTTATATATTTTTCATCATTTGATTCCATATCAAAACCTGAACCAAATGAATAAATAAGCATTTCAAAACCAACTTCAGCCATTTGATCAATAACAGCACGAACTGCGGACGAACTACCATTAATCATATGAAAAAATATTGGATTTTCTTGTGTATGTGGTGCTAATAAACGAAAAAGACGATGTTTAGATAAAGCAACACGTTCAACATTTGATGAACCAATAACAAGTTCATGAACACGAAATGATGATAATTGTGTTCCAAGTGTAACAACTAATTCATGATCTGTTTGATATGTACAATTAACTAATGGTGGAAATGATCCTGGAATTGTATTTACTTCAACATCATATGTCCATAAAATATTTGTACCATGACCAGGTGATTGATTATTTTCAACATATAACCATGATTCACCAAAAGGTGACCTACAAAAAAAAATAAATAAGAAAAAACATAATTATTTATTCTTTTTAAATATACCATGGTTGATTAACAGCTAAGAGTTCCACTGAATTAAATGATAGATCAATATCACCACGTCCACTTGTATCAATAATATCAAGCCATTTTACAATTAATGGTATACCATCATACATTTCATAATTGATAATAACAGTAACGTATTTATGTGATAATGGCGCATAATAAGGTGCTTTAAAATAGACACTTAGATGAATACCTTTCGGTGGCCATTCGATATCAACTGGAGCAAATCGTTTTGGTGTATAAGCAAAGGGAGCTTTAGGTTTTCCAACTTCATATGTTGAAAAATGAAATGCTTTTGTATCAATTGCTTTATTTTTCCAAAAATCAGTTCGATTAAAATAAGCACATTGTGTATTTGGTATAACTCCACCAATATTATATTCAATACCATCAAGTGTTATTATACTTTCAGGTTTAACACATCGTAATATACTTGAATTTGTTGCATGTAAATCACGAAAATCAATTGTAGCAAAATCAGGTTCAATTAAAAATTCTCGACTGATTAAACTATTTGAAAGAAGTAATGTACCCAATGGTGTTTTTGTAAGTGTTGTTACATCACTAATTTTATCAATCAACCAATCTCTTGCTGAAATAATATTGATCAAGAATAAGATATACCAACTACAATAATTATAAAATTTCATCTAAAAATAAACTATTCATTTAGTATAAAAAGGGCGCATACGATTTGTCAATAAAACAAAAGACAAATGGATGTCGTCATATTTATTTTATCTTATCAAACAATTTCTATATCAATATAAATATCATTTCGTTTCATTTTCAACAAGTCTAGTCTTTCTAATGACAACAATCGAACGATATCATCGTTTACAACATGAATATGATCATTATAATCGTCGTTATAACATGTTACATTCTATAACTATACAAAAACAAGATGAACTTGATGATTTAATGAATCATATGAATGAATTATTAGTATTATTAGATGAGAGAACAAATAATTCTTTTCAAATCGGATCATCTATTTGTGTATATGATCATGGTGATCATTTGACAATGCCATCGATGATAGAATCCGAAAAGAATGAAGAATCTGATGATGATGATCCTTTACTACAACGTCTTAAAATAACAAAACCAAGTCGATTAAAAAGTTCAACAAATCAGTTTTTTAAATGACAATAAATAAATTGAATGATTAAAATCTTTCTGAATGATAAATATGCCAAAGAATCTAATACAAAAAGCATATAGAATTAAATTTTAGGCCACAAAAAATATTTACTAATTCATTTGTTCGACTATACATTGAAGTACATTGTTTAATTGATTCTCTATCGGTATTTATTTCTTTCATTGTTAATAATGGATGATCATTTTTTAATTGAGTTAATTTTTCAAGAAAATATTCATAAGCAGGACATTGAATCGAAAGTGTTTCAACATAAAAATTAATTCGTTTTTCAATGGTTATATAAATTGAATGAAGTTTAGATTTTGTTTGATAAAGTTTTGTAAATACATCAAATAATGCATCAGTTAAATCATCAACATATATAACTAAATTACATCAACGAAAGTATTATTTAGAAAAAAAAACCATATTCGAAAATACCATCAGCTGCAAGTATAATTTCAATTTGATTATCTATTTCATTACAATCAAATTGTTTCCAATCGATTTTTTGTATTTGAATACATTCTTTTCGACATATACTATCATTAATATTGATATTTTCTTGAAGTACTTCTAATAGATTATTATCATGATCTGTAAGAAAAATAAGTTTTTGGAAGAAAAAGAAATTTTTAATTTACCAGTAGAAATAATTCTTGATGCAAATCGACTTGCAATAAGAGTACAAAGACCAATTCCAGCACCTAATTCAAGAATTGTTCGATTTAAAAATCGATCTTGATTTGTTAATATAAAATCACAAAGAAGCAGCGAACCATTCCATAATTGATATCCACATTGTGATACATTTGTTTCATTACGATGAACTATAGAATATATAACAAAAAATTAACTTGAAGACGTTATAAAAAAATATTACATCAAGGTAGATAGTGAAATAGTATTACTTTTTATTATTATTATCTATGACCTACTAATATTTACAGAAGATAAATGAATTGAGACATATATGTTAGTATCGTAGAATTTTTCTAACAGTGCTTATGAATACAATCTTATATATTCATTTCACTATCTATACTCCTTCGTTTTCATATGATTATTACCTAACGTTACATCAATACGTTCTGGACGAATTAAATCTAGATCACCATCATCATCAACATGAATATCTTCATTATTCTTAGTTGATAATATAAAAAATTGAATCGAATCTCTCGAAAATTCTTCATCATTTGTTGAGGAAAATACATCCGAATGAATAAAATATTGATCATTTTGTTCTTCAAACATTTATCAAAGAGACAGAAGAAGAAAAAAAAAAGTTGAAAGAAAATCCAATAACAACAACAACAATAATAATAATTATCGAGAGAAAAAAGAAAGAAGATGAAATAAAGAATATTAATCTATAAAATAACAACAAATAAAGCCATACAAAACAACAAATACAATTGACTTTGTTTTATATTTTATTTTTTTGTTTGTTTGTGCAAATATCTAATTAAAAGAAATAACTAAAATAAATCGACTACCAATAATTTGGATCATCAGTAATTCCAAGTTTATTTCCTAATCGTCGGAATTTTGCTCGAACTTCTTCTTGCATTAAATTAAAACACATGGCCATTAATGATAAACCAAGTAGAACATAAAGAGCACAGATGATTAATTTACCTTCAACTTGTGTTGATGTTATAGATTTACCCGGTACAAGATCACCTAGAAAAAAATAAATAAATCGAAACGTTTTTTTTAAAATTCAACTATTTTGATTGTACCTAAACCGATCGTTGCAAGTGTAACAAAACAAAAATAAGCACCGTCTAAATAGTCCCATTTTTCCCATTGGCTAAAAAGTACTGAACCAAGTATCAAATAAGATGATAGTAATGAAAGTGTAACACTGATCGGTATTGTAACTTTACGATAATCAATACTAAGATTATCAACAAATTCGACGACATTCTGCGGTGGAGGTTGTTCAAGATCATTTGTAGGTGATTGAATTGGATTTGATGCTAATGTTGTCGTTATTGGAGATGGTGGTAGTGATGCTGCTGTTGCTGCTGCTGCTGCATTACGTGATAATTCAACAGATTGTAATGCACGTAAATTACGACGTTTTTTAACCAGATTACAATACGAACAACATATATTGCAATAGATAAAACGAAATGCATCTGCCATTGTTGAACCAATATTTGCTAAACATAATAGCATTAATGGAATACCAAATATAGCATAGATCATTGTCATAATTTTACCATAATCTGTTTTACTATAAATATAACGAGCAAATTAAGAATTATTAAATGATATTTACTTTACGAAAATGAGTATTTGGTGGTCAAGTTAAGTGTGCTCCAAACTTGAAGTTTATGTATGTCTAAGTTTTCGCGAAAAAACTCCACCTGAAAACTGTAATTGTCTGTTTTTGATTGCTCTAATAGATACTCTGGACTGTGCTGAGTCGGCCGGTGATGCTCAAGAAAAAAAAGCACACAGTTACAAGCTACAAATTGTTGAAAAACTTGAAATTTGGAGCTCACTTAACTTGACTGTATTAGGTTAAGTTTGAAGTCATTATAGCTATTTTAGAGTAATAGTAAATAAACAAAGATAGTATTCGAATGTTAGACAAATAAACAGAATCAACAAAGTAATCGATTATTTCCAGATGGATTAGATTATTTCAATTGAGAATTATTCTTATTCTTTCATTTCAAACAATTGAAATATCTTTTGATCAATTCATAGTCAACAGCTGTATGTCAAAAAGAATGTTCTTTTTTTTTTCTATGTTGATATAACTCATCTTAATGTCAATTGCAAATATAATCTTGTTATCAATAGATGGACACAGTTGTTATTGTTATTGTCTATGAACTAATCAACAGAATCTGGAAATCTATTCAAACCAAGGACAATAACTATACCTTTGAAATCGATTAACCTATTCTTTAACCTTAGAATGAATACATACCAAGTAATATGTCCATAACCTAAAGCAAATGATAATATTTATTAATATGA